AGAGAGAGAGAGAGAGAGAGAGAGAGAGAGAGAGAGAGAGAGAGAGAGAGAGAGAGAGAGAGAGAGAGAGAGAGAGAGAGAGAGAGGAAAAGTGAAGCACATGTTTTTCCCAACGCTACTTCTCTTTGCGAGCGAAGCTGCAACAGGTCCTCTATAATTGACAGTTTTGCCATTGTAGATTTGTCATTGACAGATTGCCATCGACGGATTTGTCAGTGACACATTCGGGACATTTTTGTGATTGAAAAAGTGGGTAGCTCTGTATGCTACAACCTGCCCTGGACTTAATGAGTTAAAATTTAAGAATTAAGGTTTACATGATTGGGAACTGAAGCGGAGTCGTTGTGGAGTCGTTGCTCATTGATAGTCTCTGGCTCCACCATACATAACTGGGGAGGGCCCTGCAGTGCAGAGATGGCATTATGCATGCATTACGTCCTTTACCCCTGGTTTGAGAGGTTTGTTGTCTAACAACATTGCAATCCTGAGAGTGTTTGCAGGCTTTCCACTCTTGTTATTCTCTTCAGTATTGCACGACTGATACAGAAGAAAATGTCAACTGAAATTACGGCAGTGGAGGGCTGGAATTGAATGAACGAAATTGAAGCGAGCAAGCATAGAGAATACATGATGATTTTTAAAAGGTGGTTCAGACATCAAAACTAACAGTACAATCCAACAATTCCTAGTACCTGTGCTTCTTTATGTTTTCTCAGAAGTTGAGTGACTATGTCTTTGGAATGCTGGACAGTTTCCAGTATTAAAGGGCATATGAAGCTTCTGATATTGCAGTGAATGATCAATGTCGATCAATATTCATAACCTTGCGGGGGATGATTGCCGGTCTGTTAGAAGCACTAACATATCAGTCTTCGCGTCTGTCTTTTCTCTGCCTTTGGACTCTGTATGAGTTACTGTATCTGCCCACCTGTGTGTGTGTGTGTGTGTGTGTGTGTGTGTGTGTGTGTGTGATCATATTCGCTTTACTCTCCAAAAAAGCATGACTGCGCCAGACTGTTTCATTGGACTTTCACCGACCTGTCCCTCTGTGTGTGCGTGTGTGTGTTTGTGTGTGTATGTGTGTGTGTGTGTGTGTGTGTGTGTGTGCGCGTGTGTGTGTGTGCGTGTGTGTGTGTGTGTGCGTGCGTGGGTGTGTGTTTGTGTGTGTGTGTGTTTTGTTTTCTGAATGTATGTTAGTGCTTCTCCTCTCTCATGTCCTTGGACATCTTGTTGTTTTTTCTATCTCTACTCCCAGCAACTGGTTTGCCTTTCTTGCCCCTAACTGTCTTTCTGTGTGTATATTCTCTCTTCCTGCCTTTGACTGCCTCTGTTTGCTTGTATGTTTCGCCTGTCTCTCTGGCCCTGTCTTCTGTCAGTTTGTCTGTTTCTCCTGGCTCCGTCTAGTTCTTCCTCTGGGTGTGTTCCTATTACCGTCTTTCTTTGTTACTGTCCTCTCTCTCTCTCTCTCTCTCTCTCTCTCTCTCTCTCTCTCTCTCTCTCTCTCTCTCTCTCTCTCTCTCTCTCTCTCTCTCTCTCTGTGTCGTTACTTGGGTGCTGCAATGTCCGTTTCTGCATGTTTCTCTCTGGTAATTCGGTCCAAATCTTGTATGCACTTCTAGCAACTCTCTTCACTTTTTTTGTGCTTTGGTTTTCCATCTCTGCAGCCTGTGCTTGTGAAATATGCTGTGTTTCATATGTGTCTTTGCGATTTATTGTTTTGCCAATACTTGTATTCAGGGAGCCTGCCGTCTCTTGAACGATATTGAAGCATATCGACACGCGGTAGCAGAAGAGAGGGGTAAAGTGCTCCAGCCAAGTACTGGATTAGCCCGCAAGGGTATCGGCGATATTGAGTTCGAAGACTTCGAAGAGGGGGACGAGGGAGAGGACGATGAATATGATGATGTCCTTGGTGACGAAAATGAAGATGATCCCGATGGGATTGGTGATGGCGACGAAGTGGAAGATGGAGTCGAGGACGTTGACCCTTGGGAGGATGATGACACAGAAGACGAGTTTGGTTTTCGCAGAGAGAGCGCTCCTTTCATGGATGAAGGTTTGTGCGATCTAGATATAGAGTGGGACACCATGTCATGTGAAGTTGAGAGCTGATTCTCTCATGTTCTTTCTTTTTTACAAGGGGGCATCAGATGGTCACGTGCTTGTGAAATATAATCTCTGTTAAGGCACTCAACAGAATTTACGACCCGACAGAAAAATTGAACACCAGTTAGAAAAAAACGTCGGAAGTTGAGACTCAACAGAAGTTACATTAAAAAAATAAATTAAAAAAATAAATCAATAGAAGTCGATACTCAAAAGAAGACTTGAAAAAGTCAACCGAACACAACGCTGGATCTCTGAGATGAAATTATTGAATCCTAAGTTTTTGGAACAGATTGACTTGATATTGCAATCAAAACAAACACTCAGAGAAAGATATAGCCCTATTAGTCCATTTTTTATTTAAATTCAAAATGACCTTGGTAGTCCATGCCGTAAAACCACTAGTACCTTTGCCGGGTGGGAAAATAGTGGGCCTTGGGTGGGCCTCCGACCTTTTCGGATGGCCAAAACGAACCGATGGCCGCCGATCAGATTTATCAATGGCAGCCGTCGTCGGGCCCGGTCTCCGGATTTCAGGAGTTTGGGAAAACTGCCAGTTTCCCCTAATTTCCCAACACTGGGCGAGGTACTAGTGGTTAAATGATGAGTGTTGGTCCTTGGTCTACGCCCGCTTGACAGAAATAGCACAGTAATGCGGGGAAGTGTGCTGTTGAGTTATACTGTTTTTTTTGCTCGACTTGACGCCGTGGACGGTGGAAAAGGAACCGGACTGATGCTCCCCAGAATAGAAGGAGCCAGATTTCTTGGGGGGGAAAAGACAAATAACACATAAAAGCAGTCATTGTTGCTCTGGTATAATATCTGTGACCGAATCCCTTTGGAACATCTGCGAAAATTCAAAATCAGCCTTTAACTAGGTCAATTTGCAGGGGGACATTAGAAAGGCCTCTTTTTAGCTGGTCCAAATAGTGAAATGGTCCAGATTGGCAAACCCCTCTTTTTTTAGCTGGTTGGAGCCTGGTGTAAATACAGAGAAATGGTTCCAAATTGGTGTCGCCTGTTGCCATGGCCATGCCATTTCTTTATACATTTGGGCCCTCTTGTCTGTACTGGCCCCTGTTTACCTGGTCCAAGAATGAGGGCATACTCACAGTAGGGCCTTAAAATTGCGAAATAGCAAAATCAGTGGCCAGATGGAGTCCTTGTAAAGGGGGGACTCTATCCGGCTGCCGGTTTTGCTACTTCGCAGTTTTGAGGTCTTCGTAAAGTGTTCAAAGTAGGGACTCTATCTGACATATATGCAAATTGAGAAATGGACCAAATGGTCCAATTTGTTTTTGGAGTGTAGAGGAGGTGTCTCTGAAAAGCTTGCGGTGATTGCCTGAATGCTCACTCCATACATTGAAAGCGACCTCTGATGACTGCCTAGCTTAAGATTGCCAAGGTGGACAGATACGGGCCGGAGAGGTAAAGAAACATTAAGAGATAGCACTGAAGTATAGATATGTGACAATCTATTTCAGCACGGAAGTACGTTCAATGTGTGTAGCACTGAAGTATGTGATATATATCTGTGGTATTTTCCCATTAGTAAAGCAGTCCAGAGCAAGGTCATAAAGAGATGGCAGAGAATAGCAGAAGCGACAAGCATTGTATTTGACATCATGTTTGCTTCGTGGATGGATGTAGGATTGTTATAGTAGCGACTTTCTCTGTTGTCTTTTCTTGAATTCAAACTCGAGGGGCATATTGCCCTGGCATTTGTCTGCGGACGCACCTGAGGCTTATTAGTCTAATGGGTTATCAACAAGGACATCATCATATGTGATTCTTCTCAGAGACACGTGGTTCAATGTATCATGCACGATGGGTATCACTATGATGTCAGGAAGGGCTCGATATGTCTTGCTATGGACAAATGACACCTTTCTCCTTGTGTGGGTGTGTTCTTCTTTTTCCCCCTTTTCCACTTTTCTTTGCAAGGAACCTTCACGGCAGAAACTCAGACCACAAGTATCACAAACTCTTGACAAGCATACATATGGTGACCAGACTAGAAGCGGAAGCGACAAATCACTGATCACACCAACACAGGAAACCGACAACGTTGAAGTCTCTTTGATGACGAAAGCCCCCCCCATCGCCTCCCAACGACCAATGCAACAATGATAGTAACTGTACTTAGCCCTTCCATGAGGATGTCCCCTTCTAGTGCCATTGTCCCTGTACTCCTTCGTGCCTTAAAGCTATGGCGGCAGCACCTTCCTTAGGGATCTTCAGTTGTGGCGCCGGTTCTCCTTCTCCTGAGCTGCCCTCTTCCGGCTGGCGCTGCACTGACCTACTGCTCCTTGAGCCTGGCGGCATCCTGCACTGGAATGTCCCTTGACCTGCCTCAGCCTTGGCTTCTATACCACGGCTGGGTGCTGTTTGGATGGCAGAGACTGCCTTTCAGAGTCGTCTGGACTCGATTAAAGAGCCTCTTTCTGGGCCTGACCGGGCATGCGCACTGTTTGTTCCCAGATTTGATTTAATGTCGATCTAATCAGACTAGTTACCAAAGGCGCGAAGCACAATTCCGAGTATCCGGGTACTATTGTAGGACGTGAAAACACCCGATCCCACTGCGACCTCGATCCGTGAAATCGTCTTATGCCATATGTATTGATTTATTTTGGGAGACATGGTTCAAGCCCGGACCTATCAATTTCTTGTGCAAAGAAGAGCCATACTAATACTACGCGACTGAGGGCTTACTGGCCCTTCGCTGCCTTCTGCGACACTCATGGGGCAGGAAAGTAAAAGATGGTGTTGAGGATATAAATCCATGGTACGAGACGGCGTGGAAGACGAGTTTAGTTTCGGGGGAGAGAGCTTTCCTTTTGTTTGGTTTCTGGAGAGAGAGCTTTCCTTTTGTTTGGTTTCTGGAGAGAGAGAGAGAGAGCTTTCCTTTCATGGATGAAGAGTAAACGATGTTGTATGAAGTTGTGAGCTAATTCTAATGTTCTTTTGTTTTTGAAAGTGGGCATCTCACATGGCAGCGTGCTTGTGATGTTATATCTCTTCGGAGGCACTCAGTACAGACAAATCCAGAAAGATTCAACAGAAGTTAAAACCCCGAAGTTAGGCTCAACGGAACTCAGACCGAATCAATGGAAATTAAGAGTCAGAGGAGTATAGAGTCGAACTCAAAAGTAAGTTAAACTCAATAGGAAGACTCAACAGAAGTTAAGACTCCAAAAAGAAGTTGGACTCGAAAGAAGTTGACTCGAAAGAAGTTAGCTTGACAGAAACTACACACAAAAAAAAAACAGTCACAGTTGCTCTGCTGTAACCCAATACCTTTGGGGGATCTGTGAAATCTATGTCAATTTGCAGGGAAACATTGGAATGGCCCCTTTTTTTTTTAGCTGGCCTGGATCAAGAAACGGTGCGGATTGGCAAACGCCTTTTTCTAGCTCGTCTTAATACGGGGAAATAGTTCTGGATTAGTATTGCCTGTTGCAATGGCCATGCCATTTCCTTACAAAGTTGGACCGTCTCTCTGTATGGGCCGCCTTTTAGCTGGTCCAAGAATGGCACATGCAAATTGCCAAATGGTTCAACTTTCTTGTGGAGTGTCGAGGAGGTGTCCTCTGAAATGCTTCCAGTGAATGCCTGAGTGCTCACTCCATACATAAAAAGCGACCTCTGATGACTGCCTAGCTGAAGCTTGCCCAGGTGGACAGATACGGGCCGGAAAGTTAAGAATGTATGTTTACTATGTGATCCTAACGACGACTTAGCATGGATTCTATAGCCATAGTCAGGTTGATAGCCTGGAAATATGTTATGGACGTAGGGTGCAAGTACCTTCAATTTGTAGCATGGAAGTATGTTGCACATGCATGGTATTTGCCTCAGAAAAGCAAACGCGAAAAACATCAAGAGATTTCACAGAGAATAGAAGAAGCAACAAGCATTGTGCCTGCATCCTGTTTGCTTTGGTGGATGGATGTGTCCCAAGACCCAGCGGCCTGCAGCGCATGACTCGGATGTGTGTGTCATTGCAGGCCCATCTGGGCAGTTCTGTGGCGCATGGCCCGGGTCCGGGCCAGCTGGCCAAGTTCGGTTCGGTTGGTAATCCAGGGCGTCCATGTGAATGGGTGGGACAGATGCAGGCCTTATATGAAATTTTCACTTATCAGGCTAAAGCCTCAAATCTCGGCTGTCCTTCTGCACATGGCCCAGATTTGCAACGGGTCTTATGTTTTGGGTGATTGGACACGAATCTGGACAGCCCAGATTGAAGAGTTGAAGTGGAGCATCGTTGTCATGTTCCAAAATGACCGAAAGAGACTGCTGATAAGGAAAAAACCTTCAGTATTGCATTTGTGAAGGATTGACAGGGATCGTCAATCCATCAGATAATTCTGGTGAGAACTGTATTGTGAAATGTGGTTAGCAGTACTTCGCATCAATCATGGATCATCAAGGGAACTTTGTGAAATGATGATGATAATGCAAGAAGCTTCATCAGGTTGTACTTATGATGACAATGGTTTGGTAGTGCTCTTGTATTTTTGTTTAGAGGTGTATGGTTTTGGAGCCTCTCAAGCAGGCCCTGCCTGGGGGTTTAAAAAATAAAAAATAAAAAAGAATGCCTCCCTGTCAGTGTGCTGGTTACCCATTGATGATGCTTGTGTTCGATAGGACGTCCGATCGGCAGAGGATATGGTCTCTCACATCTTGCGATTGGAGCTGCCCGGAACAGATGGCGAGCAGGGGGCGCAGGTAGAAGCGAGAGGTCAGGGAATATAGCGGCGAAAGCCGGATTGCGGAAAGGAGGAAGTAGCTGGGCAGGGAGTGAAGGAGGTGGTAGTCGCCGGGCCAGTGGGAAGCCTCCTGTCATGGATGGCGGGTTTTCCTTTGCCTTTGGCAAGGGTATGGGTGGTGGCTATGGTGAGGCAGAAAGCCCAAGGAAAGTCTCTGTGTTCCCCCGCACACTCGCTCAACTGGACTCGTACTTGCGCGAGAAGGCAGTCTCTATTGAGAGGTAAGGACCCTCTTCTCTTGCTGTGTAACTGCATCGTTCTTCTGCTTCATCCCCTCTTCCCGCTCCTCCTGCTCTTCTTCCTCCATCTCTCCCCCTGCCCCTCCTTGTTCTTCATTTGTTCATGTCCTCCTGTCCTTCCCCCGTGTCCCCCCCCGCACTTGTTGTTGTTCTTCTTCTTGTTCTTCTTTGTGCCTCCTCCGTGCCCCTCCCTCCCCTAGTACCCTCCTTTGCTCTTATCTTCTTTTTCTCATCTACCTTCTCCTTTCTCTTTTTCTCCTCCACTTCCTCCTCCTCCTCCTGTCACACTTGGAAGGTACTATCACTAAGCATATTATATTTCACACGGCAGCCACAATTTGCTGCTGGTTATGGTGCTGATTTTTAAATGACCGTTAGTGCAAAGAACAATAAGAAACGAGCGTAAGGGGTCCTTCGGCCAAATGGAAGGAAGTGTGAGGGTGTCAATGATGTAATACATGACTTGTAGGCGGAAAAGGAACCGGACTGATGCTTCCCAGAATGGATATGGAGCCAGGACCATAAGGGCCTGTTTTTTTCTTTAAAAAAAAGAAGAAAAAAGGAGCAGAAGCAGCAACAAGAACATCAACAGGAGAAGCGCAGCCAGAAAGTAGCTGTTGAAAGTGATGATGCTGTATTAGTTTGTACGCCATGTGCCAAAATGAAATGGATGCCTCAAGTGAGGGAAAGGGAGCATTGTTAAGGACAGGTGATGACAATAACCAAGCGCCACGCTCCACCACTCACCAAATCTGGAAAATGAGAATGAATAATCTGCTAGAACATGCAAGGATACACTGCCCTAATTCTTGTCTTTTCTGCATGTGGTGAGTGAAGCGACGCCTTAAGTAGTGGGTAAAGGCTTTGGTTGCGAAAGGAGCAGGCTCAGCAGGGGAGATGCATGGATATGAGGGAGATCATATCAATACTGAGGGAAGGATGTGCGTGTCACTCTGGGAAGGTGGTGCTTGATCCTGTTTGTCTTTCATGGTCCAAGATGTGGTAGCTCAATGGGTTAGAGATCTGGTGTCGCAACGTGGAGGTTGCAGGTTCGATTCTGTCAGCCCTCAACCTCCGCTGTGCATGACTATGGTCGTCGCACATATAGAATGCTCGGTAATTATAGCTGTATGTACATGGACTTTAGTCCAGATGCAGGGATCATTACCGGGTGTTCTATTTGAGTGAAGACGGTACTCGGTGCTAGGTTGACCCCTCACGAGCTCGTCCCCCCGTCTAGGACAGCACATGAGTAGACCAGTTGTCATTGTAGCACAGTGGGTTTGAGCTAGGGGAGGTTGGGAGTTTGAGTCTATTCGGCCAGGAAGATCATATTCGGGATATTGTACAGAGATTGATCTCGTAAGTTGGTTACCTTAGGGCTTTACTTTGGCGGGGCAGGGCTGTAGGTGGGATGAATAGGAAGGTCCCGTTAGTGGGGGACTAGGTATGCGAGTTCCGAGGTAGGGCCTCCTGGGGAATAGACAAGAATAGGCCCTGTGGATGATAGAGGTAGAGGGACGAATGCTGGCCTAGTACGTAATGATGACTGAGACCCGTGCCGCTCCGGTTGACTAACCCGGATGGGAACCCGCAGTAGGGGCCGTCTTAGGGATAGATAGCGGTGGGATTGCCTGTTTCCCCCGTTGACAAATAGACCAGAGTAGGCCCAGTTGATGATGGAGGTAAGAGGAACGGATGGTGGCCTAGTACATATTGATGAAGAAAACTGGGGCTGCTCTGGGTGATGACAACTTGCAACGTAATGGCTGGAGGGGTCTAGTTGATGAGGCAAGGTAAGGGGATGGATGGTGGCCGTAGACCTGCCATTGACAGAGGCTAGGATACATCCAGATGGCGGACAACCAACAACGATCAAAACAACAATAGTACAACCACAACAAACTTAACAAAGTGACCAGAGAGGGGTCTAGGGGGACGTCTATAGGTAGAGGGGCAGATGGTGGCTGTACATCTCCTGATAGTACCTCAACAACAGAGCAATATAAACGTGGCTACGATCCGGACGTCCGGCCCTGAAGGTCTGGATCCATCCAAAATCTGCACAAAAAAGAGGGGGGTGTCGTCCAGGGTCCTTCCCAACGTTGATGCTGAGCCCCTAAAAGTGTTTCGGGTTCACTTTGGGGCTGTTTCATTTTATTTTATTTTTTTCCGACTGGACACGAGCCGAAAGTAGTTGGAGTTAGGGTCGATTTTTTTTATTCGGGCTCTGGTCTCTTTCAGGAAGGGCTGTTGCTTTCGCGCCCTCAGTTGTTGGGTGGGGGAGGCGGGCGGGGGCATGCCAAAACTCACCTGGTGCCACCCCAGTTCGAAAAGCCCGCTCACTCTGCTCGCTCTGATGTTGCATCAAGGAGGAAGGCGGCCATCGAAAAGGAAGGTCACCATCATCGAGGAGGAAGGCCGCCATCGAGGAAGAGGAAGGTGGCTATCGAGGATGAGGAAGGCCACCATCAACGAGCAAGGGCGCCACGAGAGGGACGCACTGTGCAGCTAGAGCGAGAGAGAGAGAGAGAGAGAGAGAGAGAGAGAGAGAGAGAGAGAGAGAGAGAGAGAGAGAGAGAGAGAGAGAGAGAATGTCCATGATCCCTTCCCTCTCTCTCTCTCTCTAGTCTGCCGCACCGAAGTTTTGCACATGCTGTCACACTATTGTGCTGCGCTGTTCTATCTCACTCCACTGCTCACCTCTTCTACACCGCGGAAAAGGATATGGTGGTGTATCTTTCCATGATCCAGCGGAAGAATCGCTCTCATTTTGCACATTTCGTGAGTGGCGGAGCGAGGCCACCTTTCCATCCCCCCCACCCTGACTGTCATCAACGCTTCTGTCTACATTGTCTCTGCCCCGTTTTCTTCCCCCCTTCGAACTTTTTGCCTTTGCGCCCTCCCTCGTCTCTCTCCCGTTTTCATCCCCCCTCAAAACGTTTTCGCCTTCGCGCCCTTTTCTCCCCTGTTACACTCGCTGCTCCCCTCGGCTCTTTCTCCCCCGTTTCACTTGCTGCTCCCCTCGGCCCACTTCTCCCCCGTTACACTCGCTGCTCCCCTCGCCCCCCACTTGTGCCCAGTTTCACTTGCAAAGGTTTCCACGAACTGCTGTTGGTACTGCCAGGAATTGCTTAGTTGTCCTTGTCAGTGCTTATGTGTCTGGTTGATTTCTTTATTGATTGATTGTATCCCACTTGTACTCCACTTCGTAATAGTTTGTTGCTCGAGAATACTATATCGTTATCTATTATCATATTAATACACTATTACCATCATATCTGCACTATACTATGACACTAGTATCATATCAGTATATTCCTATCGCAAAAGTTTTTATTTTTTATTTTTAGGGTCCCAACATTTCTGGACCTGGACCCCAGTCCGGACGGTCTGGATCCCGGCATGTCAGGATGTCCGGAAATGTCCGGAAGTCCGGATGGAACTGGAATCCGGTTGCTGCTCAAATGATGTCTGGGTCCGGGTCCGGGTCCGGATCCGGCGTAGCCATGAATATAAACTCAGACACATTCAGATCAATCGATAATAGATGTGCTAGGTGGGTAGACCCGGGTTATGCAGATTCTGTCATGGGTTAGACCTTGGCAGTGGGAGGCGACATTAGACACTGCCTAGGGTACATCTTGATTCATAAACTGGGGATCCCAGGTAAGTTTGGTGGACAGGAATGGGTCCACTTATGGGACTTGTACAAAGAACGTCTTTGAAGTTACCCGTACGACAGGGCTTGTCGGACTATGCTTCAGTCAGGGCTGAGCAGGGGAGGTCCTGCTTAACCCTGGTGCCTACAACCGTGGTCCGGTTAGGTCACCCCGGCTGAGATGATGGGAGGGTGATAGTCCTGAGTGGTAAATACTGAGGTAGGATTGTGGGAGTAGGGGTGCGCCGGGGAGAAACAACACGAGAGGAAGGTTGGGAGGGAGTCTCATAAGGAATAGGACCCATCGAAGAAAAAAAAGGAGGGAAGGAAGAACATGTTTGAATGTTCATTAATCAAGAGTTTTATCTTTTTCTCTTGGTTGTGTTCCTTGCAGGGAGATTGGGCGAGTGCCTATGACGGCACTGGACGAGCAACTGGATGAGCTGGAGCGATTGTCTCCTGAAATGCCAAAGGTATGCTCTAAATTATCATGGTGAAGGACCCGTGAAGGTCCCTCCTACTTACGAGGAGAAAATGTCTTAACACGTGCCGACATTTTTATCCCTCATGTACTCTCTACTTCGTACTCGATCATCAACTTAGCGATGAAAGTTACAGTGGAGACTGAATTTTCAAAAGGTTGATACAACTTTGCATCTTGTGCGCCTCTTCCGTCTTGTAATGGTATATACGATATCAATGAGACAGTGTTGCACAGCTCCTGTGTTTTTGTCCTTTTCTCATGGATACAAGGTTGGGTGCCTGGGCAGCCGAGGGCAGCCCGGATTGCCTGACCGGGCCAGATTCCAAGCAGACCCAGAACAAGATCAAATAAAAAGATGTCACATGTTGTGTAAAGCTGCAATACAGACAACTTTTGGCTAAAGATCATGTTGGATTTCCTTATTGCGTCGGACATAACAAATAAAGTTGGAAAATTAAAACCCCTTTGAACTTTAAACTTTTAACCTGATTAGAACAAATGCAACTTTTGGCTGACTCAGGCAGGCTGACTGACTAGGCAGGTTGCACAGGTGCTCAGCCGGCCGGGCTTGGTAAGCTAGCCTTTTCTCCCTTCCTGTCATCAGTTCATCGGGTGGTTGAGCGTGGCAACATCTCCAGTCTGTTGAGGACTCAGGCTTCTGATGAGGCAATGAAAGGCCAACAAAAGTGTCTTTTCCAGCCCAACATTTTGTACTCCCTTTCTGTGCACAATTTATGGAGTGGTTCTCTAGTTATTGGCCAATACCTTTAGTGTCTTTTATAATTTCCAAAAAAACATCCGGTATAGCTAGTATACTGTCGGTGTCCACCTACAACTCGGGCTAAGTTGGCTCTGCAGAATGTCAAGGGTCCAGATAATTTGCTGAATGTCCGACGGAAGAGTCCCTGTTTCTTGTCCTTCTCTCTCTTCCTGCCAACTGTTCACTAGGTAGGTCTTTGTGGCACTATAAACATGTATATGGTCTGCTCTTTTAGTTGATAGACATGTGACAATATATATTATATATATATGTCTTGTTTATTTTTATTTTTATGGTTTGTTTTGCAAAGTGCACTCTTTTAGGTTATAGATATGTGACAATATGTATATCCATATTATCCATACATACATACACGATGACATAAATATGTGGTATGTGCACTCAAATTGACACCATGGAAAAAAGTGCTGCTAGTTAATTGTCTAGATACTGTAGAACTAAATCCCATCTTCAATTGCATGATCAAGGTACCTGATGCAGTCAAGGATACCGCCTTCCCCCGAGTAGAATGTACGGTTTCTATCGCTTTATGCAGAATCATTGTCGACTGAAAGTTTTCTCGAACACATAGTGTCTGTACGTTCTATTCGGGGGAAGATGGTAGTCAGCAACTTGTCCTCCTCTAGAGAGAGTTATTCACCTTTCGCTGCAAGCTATTCAGCTTAGGATGAATAATCTCATTCTCATCAGTTTCTGATGGTGTTTGATGCTTGTTTTGTGTATTGTTATGCAAACATTCAACATATACACTGAGTACAGTGAGTGACTAACCAGTTTTTCGCCGGCATGAATCCTTGAATGCTTGGCATGGGTGCTCTGTTATTGAAGTTTTTATTGAAATTGTAATCACCTTTTTGCTGGCATGGATGCATGAGTGGTTGGCACGAGTGTCCTCTCTTATTTGAACTTCAATGATGAAGCTTAATCGCTTTTTTGGCATAATGGTTGATATTGGTGCTCTGTTATTGTGTGAAAGTGTCGTCGTGGTTTTACCTTGCTGTTGGTTGAACGGTATGCGAATCTGGTTCTCTATCCATGTGATAAATGAAGGCATATACCCAGGCCTTACCTGCCGAACTGACTTTAGCATACATCCAGGAAAATCCTACGTAGTGCGAGTATTATGCCCCAATGCCAGTGTCACAGAGATTTTCAAGGGGTTGATGATGTTACGATTGTCAAGTTTTGAATAATAAAATAGTTTTGTCGACATGGCTGCATCATGTCTGTTGTCTTGGGGGTTCCTTCGCAGATTCATTACTTGCGATATCTAAATTGCCTTCATCATGGAGACTACCCCGGCGCCATGGACAGTTTGCATCGCTACTTCGACTATAGGTGAGTGAATAGGTTGTTACATTGGCTATAAGTGACTGAATAGGTCGTGACTCTGGCTATACTCGAGTGAAAAGTGTAGGCGGGAAAGGACAGTGTTTTCTGCAATGCCTCCATCAGTCCGTCCCTGACACCGGGGGACATATTTCGTTATCGTAGTCGTCTCTCACCCCTACACTTTCTTACACGGTATCCCTTTCTCTCAACGCTCCCTCTCTATCGCCCCATCTTCTCCCCCTCTCCCTCCTTTTTTGTCTGTGAACTCCAGGGTTGCTGCAATCAGACTCGACTTCAGACTTGCTCACAACATGCACACTTGAGAACCGATGGCAAAACCGAACTCCAACAACAATGAACTTATATTAAACTCAGTCTGAATCAACTGTACAACTTGCGGCTATGGCCGCCGAACACCGTCTCTACCACCAGCCTCACTTCCCCACACTCTCGCATGCACGCACGTACGAGGATCACCCTGAATGTCCAGGCTGCACAGATGAAACGGTATTCACCAGTTCGCAGTAGCGAATGCAGATCCCAGGGCTCGATCCCTACTTCCATGTCTTACCTGTGTATAGTATCAGTGTCAACCCGTAGACTTGAACCCGCGACCTGTAGGACCGCCAGTGGTAGGCAGGTTTTCGTAGGTCACAACTTAGAAGGGAATCGAACTGTAGACTTGTAGGGTAAGAGTCTAGACAGTTCCAAAGTCGTAGCTGTAGGATGTCTGAAGGGTCAAGGTCGTAGCTGCTACTTACCTGAAAGGACAAAGTCGTAGCTGCTACAGTACCGAAAGGCCAAGTAGAGGTTTCTAGAACTGGCCTTTCGGAGTCAGCCCCTGTTTAGGCCGAGGCAAGTGGTATAGGTCCACTACGCAGAGTCAGCAGTCCCAGGTATCCCAGTTCAGTCCAGTCAAGCAAGTACCGTCTGGGACTGTGCACATCGTGGGCCAAGGGATACAGGGCAGACCAACGCCGCACAGACGTATAAATCAAGAGGCTGCGTCCAGCCATTCATTCATTCCTGYGGATGCCATGCGGAAGCGCTGCCTCAGCAGCTTGTGCGAGGAGGTCTGCAGTACGCCCGAAGACGAAGTGGGCAGAGAAGTGTAGTGTAGCGACAGGGTAGTGGCAGCCATAGCTGCCATAGCTATAGTAGCGTGTGTGTGCGTGTCGCGTGTATGTACAGTGTTGCTTGTGGGACATCCAGGGTGATCCAAAGTGCGAACAGTGAGTTGTGTGGGCGCTCAGACGCCATAGCCAGTGGAAGAGAACTCTTATCTGGTTACGATATATTTGAGTACTGTGTGGGCGCATGTCGCCAGTTTGCTGAATCGCTGTTTGCATGCTTGACAAAGTGTGAAGTCGAGTCTGATTGTACTGGTATCGGAGCAGGTACCCGCTGTTCCACGCGCGTGTCGTGTGCAGGCCGATGCACCATAGTTGAAGTGACTGCCGGGAGGAGGCAGTCCGCCATAGCGGACCTCAAGGTGGAAGAAGACGCCGCGCACCTGCAACAAGAAGACCACGAGAGAGAGAGAGAGAGAGAGAGAGAGAGAGAGAGAGAGAGAGAGAGAGAGAGAGAGAGAGAGANAGAGAGAGAGAGAGAGAGAGAGAGAGAGAGAGAGAGAGAGAGAGAGAGAGAGAGAGAGAGAGAGAGAGAGAAAGTGAAGGAGAAAGAGAGTGAAGGAAGGGGAAGTAGATGGCGAGGGTGACGAAGGTGAAGGTACCGGCAGCCATAGCCGAGGTGAAGGGTTGATCGAGCGTTGACTAGAGCGTTAACCAGAGGGTTGACCAAGGGTTGACCAGGGGTGTTGACCAAGCGTTGACCGGGGCTTGTTCGTGTTGACTCAGCGTTGACCAAGGCGTTGACTAGAGCTGCTGACCAAGACTTTGACCAAGCTGGAGTTGGTGATATCTCGTTGACCCTTCAGCCTATCCCCTTACCCTGTGGATGTGCACTTACCCCACGGTACTTGCTGAGTCTGTTTGTCTACTCTTTCTGCATTGAGTCTCTTCTGTCTTAAGTGTTAGGACTCTGTGGATGAAGGATAGGGCCTTGCTGCCAAACCTGCACGGGCTTAGTAGGACCAAAGCTCTACTCTGGCATCTGGAGACCTGGGCATGAGCGGCGAGCGCTCGTTAAACAACTCGTCTAGCCCAATGACCGGTACTGTCCGGCAGGTCTACTGAGCTCAGTGTGGAGGGTCCAAACTCCGAGCTGTGGGCTGAAACGAAGGCCGTCTTTAAGTGGTGAGGCCTGGTTGAACCACTGCCCTACCGGACCTACTACAACTGATGATCTGTGTCTGACGACTCGACTGTCCCGAGGGATACGAACCCCTCCAAGGACCGGTACAGACCGGCGGGCTGCTCGGTGTGGCACAGTAGGCTGGAACGGCTGAGTTGTGGGCTGAAATCACCAGTGGAACCAAGCTGACCACGTCGTTCTGTCTGCGACGTTAAAGAATTCTTGCGGAGTTTGGGGGATCTCCTTAAATGCCTCCTGATCAGCTTTGAGTTTAGTAGTGACAGCCTTAGAGTAGTTGTGAGTAGTGGATCTTAGAGAGTCCGTCAGTAGGTCAGTGTGTCCGGGTAGGTCTAAGTGGTGAGGAGTGGGACTCTTGTCGTGCACCTGACATCACGATGGACGACTATCCGATGTATGGGTTGCTTRTGGGGTTCTCCCTCYGGGGGACCCTTTGGCRTCTCCTCTTTCCTCTGGGGTTCTGGCACACCTTCACGTGTAGAGTAGATACCCGGGGTGGTGCCTCCACCAAGCCATACACGAAGGAGGAGGAGGCGAAGATGGCCGCCATTCTGCAGGAGAGGCAGGCGAAGAAGGAGGCCAAAAAGAAGGCCTTGAAGGAGGAGCAGGCGACCAAATTGAAGAAGATAGAAGAAGAGATGGCCAAAGAGAGCGAGAGAATACAGAAAGAAGAAGAAGAGAAGTTGAAAGAGGTGGAAGAGGAGGAAGAAGATGAAACGCCACTGCAGAGGAAGAGGGGGCAGTACAGTGGTAGTAGGGACGAGGAGATGGAAAAGCGGATCTCAGAGTGAGTCGCCAACTTATCCCTGGGCGAAGAAGAAGAGGTGGCGATGTATATCTCTAAAGATGATCAGGAAGCCGCTATGAGATCTTTGGAAGCAGAGAAAGATGTTGTAAAACGACAGGCAATGGAAGATGAAAAGAGGATGGAATGGAAGTCGGCCGTGATGAGGGAGAAGAAGAGGAGAGTGGACGCGGCAGCGGAGGCGGCAGAAGAATTAGAGGAGGTCAAAAATATAGAAGAGCAACTAGCCGCCCAGACCGAACTCCCAGCTCAAATGCGAGTCATAGCCCGCAATGTTGCACGTCTGGCACGAATTCAGGCAGAGCAATATGAATTTAGTAGGAGTCAGCATATAGCTGTACGTTCCATAAAGTTGGGGTTCCGGGACTTTGCTCGAGAGTTGGTAGGCGCTATAGGCACGGAGGTGGGCCACCGCCTCGACAAGACTGTGCGGTTTTGTGTTGGCGCCATTGAAGGCGTCAAAGCGGCAGCTCCCAAGGAGGAGGAAGCACGTCCTCCTCGTCGGGAACCGGTCAAAGTCAAATTCCCTGATTCCTACAGTGGAAAACGGGAGGAGAACTTTGACAACTGGGAGGCCAATGTCAAGACCTATGTGCATCTGCAACAGGTCTCCCCGAATCAGCAGGTTTTAATCGCGATCCACGCGCTTAGGGATGAGGCCGCCAGCTTTGCAAGGTCCCTAGTTCGCGCTGCCAATTGTAGTGACGATCCAGTTGCGTACTCCTCGTTCACTTCCCTGACTGAGTTCTTGAAATTGCTGCGCGAGAGGTTCGCTGATGTCGCCCGTAGCGTTAAAGCCTCAAATAGGCTGCAGACGATCCACGCCCGCAAGTGGAAGAGCGCCAGGGCACTTAAGAGTACAATGGACGAACTGATAGCTGTCCCTGACCATGGGGTTACAGACACCCAGTTGGTCGGCCTCTTTTATCGCGCCATACCCGAAGCCCTTCGAGGGCATTTCTTCGCAAAGAGCGAAGACCCTGCCACTACGTACGATTCTCTTAGTCGTGAGGTGGTGGCTTTTGAAGCCAAGTCTGCGTCTGTGTCCACCTTTTGGCACAAAGACTTGGATAAGGGAAAGCAATGGAAGGGCCGCACTATCTCTGGGCAAGTGAAGACTAAGGATAGCCTTGTCCTAACTCTAGACGAGGGTAGTGTGGACGAGATCCCCTACGATCAGATTGAGTGGGGGTTAGAGGAGGATGACAGCGGTGTGGGCCAGGGGAGGACTTGCGCTGCTGTCGCGGCTGGAGGGAGGCCGCAAGGAGGACGAGGCCAGGGCCAAGGGGGCCGGGCCTCAGGGAGCCGGTTCCAGGGCGATCAGGGGGTTGGCGGTAGAGGAGGAAACCGCCAAGTGGGAGGCAGGGGTCAAGGTCCCCCGCAAAACCGTCCTAGGAATAGGCCTCCCCATAGGGTAGGAGGATGGCACCCAGGGCTACCGCAGGGTAGGCTTTGGGAATCTTTGGGTATGGACCAGGCTTTATGGCAACAACGATTGGACCGGGGCCAGTGCATTTTTTGCGGTGATCCGGGCCATATCATCAAATACTGTCCCAAGTATCGCGAGACCCGAACGGCTGCCCAAGGGCCAAAAGGCAGCCGCCAGTAGGGGTAGCAACTGCCCCTACCACTAGGCCATGTGGGGAATATAGCGCTAGCCGGCAGGATTCCCACACCACATGTGCCTATGGCAGAGGTTGCAGGCCGGTGTCTAGATGGCTGTCCAGAGACTGCTTGTGTTAGAGTCTCTCTAGACACCTCCCTCATAAGCGTGGCTGAAGAGTTGAAGGAGAGGATGCCTGCCTGGGCCAAGAGGAAGAAAGAACAGAAAGGGCAGCTAATTCTGGTAGATGTAGAGATTTTTAGAGGTAGGGTAGGGGCCCTAGTAGATTTAGGGGCTACCCACAGCTATATTAGTAGAAAAGCGCTGCAGAAGTTGAAGTTGGGACTTGAGGTCCAAAAGCTAACAGACCCTATAGTTAGTATCCTCGCAGACAACCGTATGATGGTTGTGGAGGAGTATGTAGAGGGAGTCCAGGCGTATTTTCGCCTAGAGAAGGATGGGAAAGTGGARAGGGTCCTCCACTCCTTGACTCTCCTCGTAGAAGACAACCTCCCATTTGATATTGTCCTGGGAATGGATTGGGGAGAGGCAGCCGGGGCCACGCTCCATTTGAAGGAGCATGAGTTTAGGCTCCCTAGTTCTTCAGGCGAGGCTAAGACTGCCCGCCTGTTCCATGTGTCAGGAGTAGAGAATCCCTTGGCACATTGCTGTCTTAGTGCTCCTGCGTTCGCCAGGTTAGTGAAAAAGGAGAAATTGGAGGAACAGTTTTTTGTTGCCTATGTCAGGCCAGTGACTGAGTCTACGGAAGAAAAGCCGATGGACCCTGCGATTGCCAAGCTGCTGGAAGAGTTCAAGGATCTAACCGAGCCGCCGGTAGGAGCAGTACTCCCAAGGGCGCCGTGTACAGGATGTCCCCACGGGAGTTAGAGGAGCTTCGCAAGCAATTAGACGAGCTCCTCGAGAAGGGTTGGATTAGGCCCAGTTCGTCTCCCTTCGGAGCGCCTGATCTCTTTGTTCCTAAGAAAGAGGGAGAGCTGAGAATGTGCATAGACTATAGGGGTCTGAATGCTATTACGGTAAAGAATGCTGAGCCACTGCCTAGGATAGACGATCTCTTAGATCGAGTGTAGGGGGCCAAGTATTTCTCTAAGATAGATTTGAAGTCCGGGTAGATCAGTACAAGACAGCCTTCCAGACTAGATATGGGCACTACGAGTTCATAGTGATGCCCTTTGGACTAACCAATGCGCAAGCTACGTTCCAGCGCTGCATGAACGATTTGTTTAGGCAGTGGTTAGACAAATTTATTGTAGTTTACTTAAATGACATCTTAGTGTTTAGCCGGACCCTCGAAGAGCATCAGGGTCATCTCAGGCAGGTCTTGGAGAAGCTGAGGGAAGCTAACTTCAAGATCAATGCAAAGAAGTGCGATTGGGCGAAGACCCAAGTTTTGTACCTAGGCCACGTCTTAGACGGAGACGGCGTTAAGCCAGAGGATAGCAAGACCGCAGCGATTAGAGATTGGCCCACGCCACGTACGCTGACCGAGTTGCGCTCGTTCCTGGGCTTAGCAAATTACTACAGGAAGTTCGTGAGGAACTTCTCCACCATCGCTGCGCCCCTTCGCAGATTGCTGAGAAAGGAGACAATCTGGAAGTGGGGCAAGGACTGCACRTCTGCCATGAAGAAGCTAAAGCAGGCATTGATAGAGTATCCAGTCCTTAAAGTCGCCGATCCGTCCTTGCCTTTTGTCGTCACGACCGATGCGAGTCAATACGGCATAGGCGCAGCGCTGCAGCAAGACGATGGCAATGGGTATAGACCCGTAGAGTTCATGTCTGCCAGAATGCCTTCAGAGAAGGTCGCGACATCGACCTATGAGAGGGAACTCTACGCTCTCATGCAAGCCTTAGACCACTGGAAGCACTACTTGCTTGGGAGGCACTTCGAAGTCTATTCTGACCATGAAACGTTACGATGGTTAAAGACGCAGGCCAAGATGACACCTAAGCTTACTAGGTGGGCCGCGGAGATAGATCAGTACGACTTCGAGCTCAAGCCTGTCAAAGGGAAGTACAACGTAGTCGCGGATGCTCTGAGTAGGAGGGCAGATTACTTTGGGGCAATAGTACACTTATCTTGATATAGGGAAGGATCTGCAGCAGAAGGTTAGAGAGGCCTATGCGCAGGACCCTATCTATAGTGAGCTCTTTAGGAAGATCAAAGAGGCCCCAGAGACTGAGCCGAACTACCGCACTACCGAGGGTTTGCTTTTTGAGAAGACTAATGTTTTTGACCGGATGTGCATCCCCAATAGTGAAGAGATCTGTAGTTTGATTTTGGGGGAATGCCACGACACAGAGGGTCATTTCGGTTGGCAAAAGACTTTAGCCAATCTGATGCGCGCGTATACCTGGCCAGGGATGAAGAATGACTGTGTAGAGTATGTTCGCAGTTGCAAAGTCTGCCAGCGTAACAAGAGTTCTACGCGCACCCCGCTAGGTCTTCTCAGACCCTTGCCCATTCCGGATCAGCCGGGAGACTCGGTGTCCATAGACTTCATGGACACTCACATCAAAAGCAGGCATGGCAAGAGCCAAGTCATGGTCATAGTTGACCGATTTAGTAAGTACGAAGTCTTTGTTCCTTTGCCGTCAGAGGCACGTACTGATTTAGTCATTCAGAGGTTTTTTGACTGTTGGGTTAGTGAGAATGGAATCCCGCTGTCAATAGTTAGCGATAGAGATAGTCGCTTTACCAGCCAGAACTGGCAAGAACTCATGGGAGTGTATGGATCTAAGTTGTTAATGTCGTCCAACCGTCATCCAGAGACTAACGGTCAGACAGAGCAGATGAACAAGATCCTACAGCAAGTTCTGCGCATGTACATTAGGCCAGATCAGATAAATTGGGATGAGATGTTGCCTAAAGTAGCTAGTGCGTACAATAACAGCGTGCATTTGTCTACATGCCGCACTCCCAACGAACTGCACAAGTCCTTTAGACCGCGCCGACCGTTTGAGGSACTCAACCGGGATCAGATTCATAGATTGCCGCCCGGGACCAGGGAGTTTGCTGTGCAGCACGAGAAAGAACTAGCTACTGTTGTAGAGAACCTCAGGAAAGCCCAGCATAGAATGATAGAGCAAGCGAACAAACATCGTCGCCCTTCACAGTTTAAGGTAGGCGGCTTAGTCTGGGTCAGTTCTAAAGAGTTTGCGCCTGAGGAGAACATCTCGCAGAAGTTACTGCCCACATATAGAGGACCGTGGCCTGTTCTGGAAGTCAAGGGCGGCGAAGATGGACCGTCCTACACCATAGAGTTACCAGCACACCTCCACACTTACCCAGTTTTCCACGCATCGAAGTTACTACCTTGTCAAACAAGTGATTAGTTTCCATCCCAGAGATCAATGATCCCACCGGATATGGATGGAAGATATGACATAGATGGTATAGTGGCTGAAGATGTCTTCAGAACTGGAGGTAGGGGTTGTCTGCAGAAACAGTATAGAGTTCATTTTAGTTATCAGGAACCGGAAGATGACCGCTGGTTTACAAGATCGGAACTTCTAGAGACAGCTCCCGATATAGTCCGGGCCTACGAGAGACAGCAGAAGGGTAAAGGTCCTGCCTTGGACTGAAATTTTCTCGGAGGACCTCAAATTTAGGCCGGCGGGAGTGAAACGGTATTCACCAGTTCGCAGTAGCGAATGCAGATCCCAGGGCTCGGTCCCTAGTTCCCCGTCTTACCTGCGTATAGTATCAGTGTCAACCCGTAGACTTGAACCCGCGACCTGTAGGACCGCCAGTAGTAGGCAGGTTTTCGTAGGTCACAGCGTAGAAGGGAATCGAACTGTATACTTGTAGGGTAAGAGTCTAGACAGTTACCTGAAAGGCAACTTTCAGTGTTCGGAAGTTGTAGCTGTAGGATGTCTGAAGGGTCAAGGTCGTAGCTGTAGGATGTCTGAAGGATGTCTGAAGTCGTAGCTGTAGGATGTCTGAAGGGTCTGAAGGGTCAAGGTCGTAGCTGCTACTTACCTGAAAGGGCAAAGTCGTAGCTGCTACAGTACCGAAAGGCCAAGTAGAGGTTTCTAGAACTGGCCTTTCGGAGTCAGCCCCTGTTTAGGCCGAGGCAAGTGGGCAAGTGGTATAGGTCCACTACGCAGAGTCAGCAGTCCCAGGTATCCCAGTCCGGTCCAGTCAAGCAAGTACCGTCTGGGACTGTGCACATCGTGGGCCAGGGGATACAGGGCAGACCAACGCCGCACAGAAGTATAAATCAAGAGGCTGCGTCCAGCCATTCATTCATTCCTGCGGATGCCATGCGGAAGTGCTGCCTCAGCAGCTTGTGCGAGGAGGTCTGCAGTACGCCCGAAGACGAAGTGGGCAGAGAAGTGTAGTGTAGCGACAGGGTAGTGGCAGCCATA